TCATGCACGCACTCACACACACTAATACATTCTCTAAAAACTACTCATGCATATACACATACACACACACACATATACACACCCGCACACACTCACACTCATACACACATACACACAAAACATTCTAATGCACAAATGAACACTTATACACACTCTAGTAAAGACTTACTCACACACGCATTCTCTAATACACACAGACACATGCTCGCATACAGACACGCAAACACTAATACACACGCTCGCACACAAACACACTCTTATACACACTAAACACACTCTAACAAACTCTTGCGCGCACTCACACACACACACACAAAGTTTACACACACAGTTTATAAGAGCTTCATTAGCAAGACTTATATGTTGACAGAGCACTACACACAGCATAAACAAAAGGATTTTATAACACACACACACACACTTTCTAATAAACAGTCACACTTGCATACACACTCTCTCACACACACACACACACACACACATTCACACACTCTGCAAACGGCGGCTTCCTGTGTCTTTATCTCTCTCCCACTCTCTCACCTCATTTCTGCTTCTGGTTCTCCTCCTCCTCCTCCTCCTCCTCTTCCTCTCTCTCTCTCTCTCTCTCTCTCTCCTCAACTCTGATTTCTGCTCTTCTCTGGTTTTGATGTGAGCTTCCTGTCGTTTCCCCTTGCATCGCTCCTTCAATCTGTCTGTGGATCTACACACTCTCTCTCTCTCCCACAGCAGTGTTTGTTGTGTGTTTTCGAAGAACGCGTCTGCATTTAGCCTGAGGAAAGCGTTGTGTCTTCTTTTTTTAGACTGTGGGCTTTTTCCTCAAATCTCAGACCCCAGATTGGCCCTGGCCCCGTGTGCCGCTGCGCAGCTTTACTCCTTCAGATTCAGTGTGTGCTGCTGCAGTAGATCTGGAGGCTTCAGTCTGCTTCATGATCTGTGTTTTATTTGGCTTTCTGCTTATTTATTAGGTGTAAAGTTCAACACTGAACACTGGGCTGACGCTGTTTCAGTTCACTATAGTCTTCTATGTGAAGCTGCTTCGACACAATCCACATTGTAAACGCGCTGTACAAATACAGATGAACTGAATTGAATTGAAGTGTAAAGGGTTAGTTCACCCTAATATGCTAATGTGCGGTGTGTTTTACGGGGGGTTTGTTCTGCAGTTGAACATTCGAGATATTTTTAGCTGAAACTGTAGTTCTTGGTGATTCATTTAATGCAGTCGGTGGTTAACATTCATCTGAGGGACAAACACACACACACACACACACACACACACACACACACACTCACTAAAGCCAAAAACAGTTACTTTAATAAAGAATAAAAATAAATTTAGAGCACTGATAAATCTCAGCTCTTTATTGGAAACAAACATTCTGCCAAACGGTCGTCTATTGGAATAGAGCTGTTAAGCGAGCGAATTAGAGAGAAACTGACTTTTCAATACAGAATTATGTATTGCGCCTGCTGTTTCCAGGGCCATCTGCCACGGACATGAATACACTTGAGAGAAAAAGAGCGAATGAACAGCATTTGTGCAGCGCCGGCCTCTGCAGTGGCCCTGTGATAGCGCCAGGACACCTTCCCATGGGCATCAGTGGGCACAAACGCCACTCAATCATTGCTGATGTTCGCACTGAGCTTCCTGGAAGTCACCATCTGCAATACGTCATTTATTACCTGCTGTTAAACTCAGCATTATCTGCAGCGTCAACACAAGCATGCCATTGCAGAAATAGATTTGTTTCTTTTTATTTACAATTTATAGTTATATGGCGAGGCAGGATCTGTGCATTTTGTGCTAATTCTGCGAAGTATTTTGTAAAAAATAATAATAATAAATAAGTGGACTTATAGG